ACAGCCCCTCGTTTGTTGTCCTCTTCTCCCTCTCTGCCTACGGTTTACCGGGCAGTTCTATTTGACGATATATATATATATATATATATATATATATATAACTAAATATATATATCTATATATATCTAGATATAACTAAATATATATATCTATATATATCTAGATATCGTCAAACAGAACTGCCCGGTAAACCGTAGGCACAGAGGGAGGGGGAGAAGAGGAGAACAAACGAGGGGGGGGCTGTGACAAACTGTTACAGATATATACAGTAAATACCGTGAGCGATTGGCAATGATGAAATTCTCGAGGCCAACACGGCTTGCTGGATAAAGGCAAATGTTGGCATCCCGACAATGGCGATCCCGATTCCGTTGTCGGGACGGAAAAGATGGAAAACAGTCGACGCGCGGGCGATCGAAGTGAGGGAGAGAAGGGTTCTTTTGTTCTTTTTGTTTTTGTTTTTGTTTTATAAATAGGGAGAGAAGTTGATTGCCTTTTATACCGGTCCTCCGGGTTCTTTTTGGTATGATCCTAGTTGGTTGCTTCCCGTTGTTCGGCCTATGAACGGGGAATGGGGGCGGTGCTTTTATGTGGGAATCATCATCTAGGATTGTTTTTATTTTTTTTATTTTTTTTTTAAAGGGCGATGGCCTTGAGGTATTATCATCGGACTAACCAGCCCAGGTAAATTCAATATTGTGTCTATTGTTTTTTGTGATGTCCCTGTACGAATTGCTTACGATGGACTTAGCCGAATAGGAATACCAACTTCTTGATGTCGAACAAGGCCATCTGCTGTGTATAGATAGATATGTATCTGGGACCTTTTTTTGATTTTCTTTACAGACAAGAATGTTTTGACATCCTGGTTGGTCTTGTCCCGTCCCGTCGTTTGGCCTGTGAAGGACTGGGGCGGTGCTTGCATGTGGGACTTGTTGTCATCTGGGATCTGTTTTGTTGCCCCCTGTTCTGTGTGTTTTACTTGGCTGTTCCCTTCCTCTTTTCTTTGCCTCTTTGCCTTTTGGCTGTGTGCAAGTGGGTCGATATCACACACGGGGGTGTGGGCAGCCGCCGCTTAACGTACATCCACGTGCGCGGCCTTGTACGCAAGAGAGGTT